GTATGTAGCACAGGTCCCTGGACTGCTATGTGCAGTGCGACTTGTGTCTACGCTGCAGCGGTCCGGGATGTACTGACTCATCTGGCTTCCTGTTGGATTCAAGGGACTGTTCACTCATATACCAAACAATCCGGAATACAACAATCACAAAAATAATACAATGTAGTTAGACTCAAAACAATTTCGTTCCAAAAATACAATTTTTCGCCTTTTGTCTTAAAATTTGGACTGTAACTGATCGTTTGCTTTGGAGAAGTGTGGGGCACAGGGTGAAAGGCGGGAGCAAAGCTTTGTTTCACAAAACATATTTTACCTTAATTTTAATCAGAAAATATTGTCATTTAGATAACAATTGAATCAAATTGGTACGCCGCCGGCCATATTTTTAATATCTTGGAATTTCTGCCAGGTTTAGAGGATTCTTTAATATTTTTGCCTGATTTAGAGGATTCTTTAATATTTCTGCCTGATTTAGAGGATTCTTTAATATATCTGCCTGATTTAGAGGATTCTTTAATATTTTTGCCTGATTTTGAGGATTCTTTAATATTTTTGCCTGATTTAGAGGATTCTTAAATATTTCTGCCTGATTTAGAGGATTCTTTAATATTTTGCCTGATTTAGAGGATTCTTTAATATTTCTGCCTGATTTAGAGGATTCTTTAATATTTTTGCCTGATTTAGAGGATTCTTTAATATTTTTGCCTGATTTAGAGGATTCTTTAATATATCTGCCTGGTTTAGAGGATTCTTTAATATTTCTGCCTGGTTTAGAGGATTCTTTAATATTTCTGCCTGATTTAGAGGATGCTTTAATATTTCTGCCTGATTTAGAGGATTCTTTAATATTTTTGCCTGATTTAGAGGATTCTTTAATAGTTCTGCCTGATTTAGAGGATTCTTTAATATTTTTGTATGATTTAGAGGATTCTTTAATATTTTTGCATGATTTAGAGGATTCTTTAATATTTTTGCCTGATTTAGAGGATTCTTTAATATTTTTGCCTGATTTAGAGGATTCTTTAATATTTTGCCTGTTTTAGAGGATTCTTTAATGTATCTGCCTGATTTAGAGGATTCTTTAATATTTCTGCCTGAATTAGAGGATTCTTTAATAGTTCTGCCTGGTTTAGAGGATTCTTTAATATTTCTGTCTGATTTAGAGGATTCTTAAATATTTCTGCCTGATTTAGAGGATTCGTTAATATTTCTGCCTGATTTAGAGGATTCTTAAATATTTTTGCATGATTTAGAGGATTTTTTAATATTTCTGCCTGATTTAGAGTATTCTTTAATATTTTTGCCTGATTAAGAGGATTCTTTAATATTTTTGCCTGATTTAGAGTATTCTTTAATATTTTTGCCTGATTTAGAGGATTCTTAAATATTTTGCCTGATTTAGAGGATTCTTTAATATTTCTTCCTGATTTAGAGTATTCTTTAATATTTTTGCCTGATTTAGAGGATTCTTAAATATTTTGTCTGATTTAGAGGATTCTTTAATATTTTGCCTGATTTAGAGGATTCTTTAATATTTATTTAGAGAATTCTTTAATATTTTTGCCTGATTTAGAGGATTCTTTAATATATCTGCCTGATTTAGAGGATTCTTTAATAGTTCTGCCTGATTTAGAGGATTCTTTAATATTTTTCCCTGATTTAGAGGATTCTTTAATATATCTGCCTGATTTAGAGGATTCTTTAATATTTCTGCCTGATTTAGAGGATTCTTTAATATTTCTGCCTGATTTTGAGGATTCTTTAATATTTCTCCCTGATTTAGAGGATTCTTTAATATTTTTGCCTGATTTAGAGGATTCTTCAATACTTCTGCATAATTTAGAAGATTCTTTAATATTACTGCCTGATTTAGAGGATTCTTTAATATTTTTGCCTGATTTAGAGGATTCTTTAATATTTCTGCCTGATTTAGAGGATTCTTTAATGTGTGTAGACATCATGCTGCTCAGCTTACTCCCATCTCCTCACAGGGTTGCACTAACAAGTAAGTTTAATTTTGCTTAAATAAAAGATTGAATTTTTCTGTTTATTAAATCTTTAAAATTTAGGTTTGTTTGTCCTTATCATGGTTGGACCTACTCCCTGGATGGCAGACTCACAAGGGTTAGTTTGAAATTATTAAAGGAATTGAGTCTTTGCCACAAACAAAAATGTCTAACACTGATAACTTTGCAACCTGACAGTTTAAACCTTTAATAACAGGAGGGCTTTGTGAAGGCAGTATTAAGCTATATCTGAGCCCCCCCCCCCCTGCTGCAGTAGTTGTAATTATATTTTTTTTTCGTTTTTATATTTAGTTTTAGTTGTTGTTATGCTTACCGTAGAAAATATATGTTTTGATTTAATTTGATTTGATTTGATTTGATTCCATTTGATTTGATTTGATTATTTGATATATCAGAATTCATAGTTTAAAGGTTACCGACATTGTGTAGCAAAGATATAGGGAATGCAAAATAATAGTTTGTTGCAAAGACTCAATTCCTTTGATGAATAAGTTATTAAGTTTGTTCTTCCAGGCTCTGCGTTTGAAGGGTATCCAGAATTTCAAAGCCAAGGATTTCGGGCTAAAACCAATTCAGGTCGAACTTTTTTAAAATAAGAAAATATGATTTTTATAAGTTAGAATGTTGTTTATTTTTCTAATTTGTAAGGTATAAGTCCCCAAAGGCTTTTTCCCAAGTGGCAACTTCTCAAGGGTATTTTCCCAGTTGTGCTCTTTACCAAGCTGCAACTTCTACTCGCAACACTCGGCAGTCGGCACCATAGCACTCGGCACCTTAGCACATCCTGGCGGCGGCACTCGGCACCCTTGCACATCCTAGCGACACCACTCGACCCCCATTGCAGCCTGCGGCGCCTCAGAAAGTCTTTCCTAATCATTGCGAAGTTGCCGTTTAGTGAATTGCACATTTGGGAAGTTGCCACTGGCGAAGTCCCCTTTGGAAAAATGCCTTTGGGAAAATACCTAACACCTAATTTGTAGGTTGCAGAATTGGGACCCCTCATTTTTATCAACTTAGGAAAATATGTTTTTAATTTTTTCATTTCTTGTGTTTCAAAAATGTTAAGAACTCAGCATTCGCTAATAATGGAACATTTTTTTGGGTGCAACAATCAAGAAGATATAGTTGTTTTCCAAAAGAAACATATTCTGTAAATTTTCTTCCTTATCTCTGGCGTATAAATTCTTAAATTTCTTTCTTCAGATAAATTGCAATGGACAATTTTTAATTTAAGATTGAAAATTAAGTACATCTCAATCACTTTTAGATAAAGTTGTGCATCGACCATGCATGGAGGGTTACTAAATATATTGTCAAGAGTCTCTGAAATATGTTTGAATATATATATTTCTCTTGTAAAGATCCTAGTACACCTAAAGCGTCTCTGATAGAACAGTTTGAAGAAGTAGATTCCAGGCTTCAGCAGAAATCATACAATGTGAGTTTAATATTATAGTTCCTTTTTTTGTTTAGGATTTGTGTTTGTTTGTTTGATTGGTTGATTATTTAGCTGTTTGATTGTTTGATTGTTTGATTGTTTAATTGTTTGACTGTTTAGGATATGGGTTGGGTTAAACGGGTCGAATATAAGATGTCCTGTAACTGGAAAGTATTTGTGGATAATTATCTAGACGGCGGGTAGGTTATTATCATATAATATATATTATCTTGATGGCGGGTAGGTTATTATCATATTATATATATTATCTGGACGGCGGGTAGGTTATTAATCATATTATATATATTATCTGGATGGCGGGTAGGTTATTAATCATATTATATATATTATCTGGATGGCGGGTAGGTTATTAATCATATTATATATATTATCTGGACGGCGGGTAGGTTATTAATCATATTATTTATATTACCTGGATGGCGGGTAGGTTATTAATCATATTATTTATATTATCTGGATGGCTGGTAGGTTATTAATCATATTATATTTATTATCTGGATGGCGGGTAGGTTATTAATCATATTATATATATTATCTGGATGACTTTAAAAGTCACTTTAAAAGTCACTATAGTAAAATAAAGAGATCTAAAATGGATATTTCTAACATTTATTTTAAAAAAACGAAAGTTTTGAAATATTTGCATTTAAGGCGGAGTTAAAATTGTTTGATTTAGAAATTAACAAAGGAATTAATGATTAATATTTGTGGGTACTTCATGGGAGTGATGTAGAACTTCATGTTGGTGGAGCAGATCAACAGGAACTGGAACAACAGGGCTTATCCAACCTAGTAGGCAGAGATCGCGGCTTTATCATGCTGGATTTGAGCGATTATGTTGTCTCTGGAAGTGGAATGCATGATAAACTGGGAACCCTCGGGTAAGCCTGTCTGCTGTTAGTTGAGTATCTGCGTCATCATCATAAAGGAGTCAAGAGGCTCCCTGTGTCGGAGCTGTTACTAGCTAGCTCTCCTAACCTGACTGAGCTGGGGTGTGTAGAGGGTGAGGCGGGGAAAGAAGGAGCCAGGGTGTCTGTGTCTGCTTCATGGCGGAAATGGATCGTGTGTATACACACATCTTGAGAAAAGGCTACGGCATTTGAGTCGGGAAAATCGTCTTCCTTATATTTCGAATTTGTGTTAACAAACGTAGTTCTCTTTTTTGTGAAATGTATGTTGAACATGTTTTATATATGTATATCATTTAAAATAATCGCAAATTAAAAAGCCATTGCGAAAATTTTTTTTTAATTGGAAAAGCTTAGATAACTAATTCATTTCAAAGTTTTCTGGTTCTCACTGTACTTTAGAAAGCATAAAGTTTGCTGTTTGATAGATATTGAGACATCTTTTACCAAAAACTCTTTTCATGGATTTGGGATTATCATTTAAATATTACAGTTATATATTTTAAACTTCACAAGAAGGGGATCATTCATTTGGCGTACCGTCCTGTTTGCCGTATATAGTCAGTATTTGTACTGTACAGCTTGCTCTGGCTTGTTGCAATTCGGCCCGGTACATGAAATGAACTGGAGTACGGTTACTTGCCTCAAACTTTAATCTTGGTGAGTTTTTTTTAATGTTTTCTCAGTTATCATGTTGAGTTTCTCCATCCTACCCTGACGGACAACCTCGATATGAACTCTTACACAACATCAACTGCTCCTCACTATAGTTTACAGGTCAATCATTATAGTTTACAGGTCAATCATTATAGTTTACAGGTCAATCATTAAAGTTTACAGGTCAATCATTATAGTTTACAGGTCAATCATTACAGTTTAAAGGTTAATCATTATAGTTTACAGGTCAATCATTATAGTTTACAGGTTAATCATTATAGTTTACAGATCAATCATTATAATTTACAGGTCAATCATTACAGGTTACAGGTCAATCATTATAGTTTAAAGGTCAATCATTACTGTACATGTAACTCTATGTAAATCTAAGTAAAAAATGAATTATTTTGATTGTGGTTTCTCTGTAAATGTTACTTGCGGATGCTAAGCTAAGACAATGATGGAAATTATAAGAAAGACTGGAAAGGAATTGAGTTGTTGCCACAAACTCAGATTTTCTAATCCCTATTATTATATATCGTATACCTTAGATATTTCAAATTATGAATTCTGTTAGGTCAAATAATTTAAGTTTGAAATATTATTGGTTTACACCGTTAGAATGCTAAGACATAGGGATTAGAATACTTTAGTTTGTTGTAAATGCTCAATTCCTTTACAATATCTTCCTCATTGTTACTTGCTCAGATAAAAGTACTGTCAGAGTACCTTGATATTTCGTCTTCAGCCCTTTAAATAGTTAAATATTGTGGAAGACGATACCTGGCCGCCTAAAACAAGTTCCACAAATTCACCGGAATGAGATAGAACGGATACGGGGCATTGTACTTTCAGTCTAACGCGTGTGATCTTGATATTAACACATTTCTGAACACTCTAGTAAAAGTTATAGGAAATATATATATACTGGAAGTTACTTTATGCGTTTCATTAGAGATCAGCCTCACGTCCTCTATAATATCATAATTATGATATTTCTACTAGGAGGTTGGTGGGAAGGGAACAGAGAGGATAGGTTCTAATGCTTTATTCTTCTTCTTATATCCGTCCTTGATGATCAACAGATACGGTCCTTGGATGGACACAAACATGGTGGTTCCTACAGGTCACTTTTACAAATATATAAGCTTATAATCTCTGTTTGTCTGTTTGTTTGTCCGATCATAACTCTTGAACCCCTAAACCGATTTGCCCCAAATTTTGATTGGGGAACTCGAGAGAGCTACAAGAATGTTCTTAGCTCGGTTTTGAGATTCTAATTTAAGTGGGTCGATTTTTACGGAGAACATTTAGTTTCCCGTTAAAATTGACGGAGTCATGCGGGTAAACGGTAGGAGTAACTCTAATAACCCTGATAATATAATAGATGTACATTGTAACAAGAAAATATTAATGTACAGGGTTTCCTCACTTTCAACTGAAACACGCTATTTCTTCGGTCAGGTTAATTCAAATTACTGCCGTACACATCTAAAGTTTTGTTGAGGGTGTTCTACAAAGGATGAGAATTCAAAGACGACTGTACAGAATGTATTTCATGTCTGTATGCATTATATTCAAGATTCCTTGCAACTGTAAACCTTTTTTTCCAAAGCGAAACCATTAAATAAGCCTTAAAAGATTGTTTTTGAACAGAAGGCTTATTTTAACCTTGATATCAATATTATTAGAATTTCAAGTCGTCTTTGCATTCTCATCCTTTGTGTGTACTGTGTACTATGTACTGTGTACTGGGTAACCCTGTAAATCTCATCAAAATGCTACTTTTCATTATCTGTGAGAGTTTTATAAACCTTTATTAACAAGACTGTAAGTGTAAGTTGAAGTGACCCTCTATGCCAAGACGACAATGCCTGATTCACAACTGTACCCTGAAAAGCTTTGTCTGATCAAATAAAATATGAAGTGATGGCAAGATGACAATTGTACATTTCTACTGCAGTAAAACAATACTGTAGTATCTAATTACTTTAATGGTCAGAATTAAAAGACAATACCGTACACTTTTTGGATCAGATAAAGGTTTCAAGGGTATCGTTGTAAATCCCTTTTACAGAATTAATTGAGGGTGGAGATACAGGGTGTCCCACATCAAATTAGACCGCGTCAATGGGTCTAAATTACGATTTGGGGGACAAATCAGAAAATTTAAGAAGAATGAATCATATTGAAAAATTTAATAAGGCTAATAGATTTTTCGAGTATTATGTGCGTAGTTAGGTGTTAATTAAAGATTGAAGATAGTCTAATATGATGTGGGACGCTCTGTATCACGTATAAAATTCATCTTATATATCAATACTGTAAAATAGACACGCATTTGTAAATAACAAGTACACTATTAAGGACATGACAGCTGTACAATTGTGTACGACTACTACCTGGAGAATCAGCTATTAAACAAAATGTCTGAAAATGAAAAGACGACATTTATAGAAGAGAGCCTGACCGCCAGCAACCAGGTAAACATGTTAAATGCGCAATGTTTTGCAAGATTTTATTCCCGACAATCTATAAGCAATGTCGGTTTTGAACTTTTTTGGAAATCAGCCAATCGCTTTTATAGTGCTATACGGATTTAGATGCCGTACAATAAAATTGTAAAGAAAATGAAGAAAAACAGAAATGTGTTTCTGCGGATCGAATAATTTTTTTGCTCTGTTTTTTGCTTGAAAATAGACCAAACATTTAATTTCCTGTATACGCCCCTGGATAATAAACACTTTATTTTTCTTGGCATTACTATTAATTTACGATGATCTGTTCTAGGTTCAAGAAGAGGATAATATGATCTCTTTAGGTTCAAGAAGAGGATAATATGATCTCTTTAGGTTCAAGAAGAGGATAATACGATCTGTTTAGGTTCAAGAAGAGGATAATATGATCTGTTTAGGTTCAAGAAGAGGATAATATGATCTGTTTAGGTTCAAGAAGAGGATAATATGATCTGTTCAGGTTCAAGAAGAGGATAATATGATCTGTTTAGGTTCAAGAAGAGTATAATACGATCTGTTTAGGTTCAAGAAGAGGATAATATGATCTGTTTAGGTTCAAGAAGAGGATAGTATGATCTGTTCAGGTTCAAGAAGAGGATAATATGATCTGTTTAGGTTCAAGAAGAGGATAATATGATCTGTCTAGGTTCAAGAAGAGGATAATATGATCTGTTTAGGTTCAAGAAGAGGATAATATGATCTGTTTAGGTTCAAGAAGAGGATAATATGATCTGTTCAGGTTCAAGAAGAGGAAAATATGATCTGTTTAGGTTCAAGAAGAGGATAATATGATCTGTTTAGGTTCAAGAAGAGGATAATATGATCTGTTTAGGTTCAAGAAGAGGATAATATGATCTGTTTAGGTTCAAGAAGAGGATAATATGATCTGTTTAGGTTCAAGAAGAGGATGATATGATCTGTTTAGGTTCAAGAAGAGGATAATATGATCTGTTTAGGTTCAAGATCTGTTTAGGTTCAAGAGGAGGATAATATGATCTGTGAATCAGTTCAACGCGGTCTGCATAGTTCTGCATACGATGTTGGAAGGTACTGTGAGAACCAAAAAAATGTGGAATATGAAAACAAAATTTAAGCAATAATTAAGCGTATTTTATGGTGTTACAGAGCAAATAGTTTTACTATTTAGTAACTTTTCTTATTACTTATTTACTAAAATGGGTCGTCTATACTGCACAACTGCTGTGGCTTATGTTCAATGGACTATTTAAAGTCATGAATATCGTCTTCCTATTCTACAGTTTTATGGTTATCACTGTATAATATTTAGTCATAAAGATAAATCTGATATAAAGCTAAAGATTTCGTAAGTTGTAAAGATTATGTCTGACATATCTCAAAAACATTCAGCACACATTATTAGAGTTTTAAAAGTTAAAAATTACAATATCCTTGGCGACTAAAGATAAACTTAATACTTGTGCTTTTTAATTAAATAAGGACGAAATAAACTGACAAAAAATATCAATGTTTTAAGTGTACTTCAAAAAAAAATTTCTTTTTTAGATTAACAATATTTTCTCTAGAGACATTCCTAAATTATTTTAATGAAAATCTACGTGTAGGTATGCGCCGGGAGTCGAGAAGGCAGATCATGCATTTCATCAAACTCTAGCTAGACAACTGCATCAGTATAAACTCTAGCTAGACAACTGCAGCAGTATAAACTATAGCTAGACAACTGCAGCAGTATAAACTCTAGCTAGACAACTGCAGCAGTATAAACTCTAGCTAGACAACTGCAACAGTATAAACTCTAGCTAGACAACTGCAGCAGTATTAACTCTAGCTAGACAACTGCATCAGTATAAACTCTAGCTAGACAACTGCATCAGTATAAACTCTAGCTAGACAACTGCATCAGTATAAACTATAGCTAGACAACTGCATCAGTATAAACTCTAGCTAGACAAATGTATCAGTATAAACTCTAGCTAGACAAATGTATCAGTATAAACTCTAGCTAGACAACTGCATAAGTATAAACTCTAGCTAGACAACTGTATCAGTATAAACTCTAGCTAGACAACTGCATCAGCATAAAATCTAGCTAGACAACTGCAGCAGTATAAACTCTAGCTAAACAACTTTATCAGTATAAACTCTAGCTAAACAACTGTATCAGTATAAACTCTAGCTAGACAACTGTATCAGTATAAACTCTAGCTAGACAACTGTAGCAGTATAAACTCTAGCTAGACAACTGCAGCAGTATAAACTCTAGCTAGACAACTGCATCAGTATAAACTCTAGATAGACAACTGCATCAGTATAAACTCTAGCTAGACAACTGCATCAGTATAAACTCTAGCTAGACAACTGCAATAAACTCTAGCTAGACAACTGCAGCAGTATAAACTATAGCTAGACAACTGCAGCAATATAAACTCTAGCTAGACAACTGCAGCAGTATAAACTCTAGCTAGACAACTGTATCAGTATAAACAAATAAAGACAGATATAAACAAATGCAACTTGAATAACCAGGATCGACAAAGCAACTACAACAAATGCTGTTTATGGCTTCGAACTAAGCTGGGGCTAATAAGGTGGTGGTACTCAGAGAATGGGCTTTGTAAATGTACAGTGTACTCTGACGGCTGTACACTGTACAGTGTGCACTGTATGAACAATGACATGCAAATTGCACATTGCATATTGCATAGCAAACATATAATCAATATCAATGAATATATTTGCATTAATAAAATTATTTATGGTCTTTATTAACTACTATCTGGAGAGCCCTGTGTTGCCCGTGGAATTAAAAGAAATGTGTACTCCCAGTATGCCCGTAGGTTTCCTCAAAATATTTCAGTCAATTTGGTAACAGCCAAAAAAGTCCCTAGAAAAAGGTTTCCGGAAAAAAGTCCTAAAATTTCACACTAAAAAAGTTCTGTGGAAAAAAGTCCTTTTAATAAGAAGCCTCCGGAAATAAAGTCCTACCAATTCGAGACTTTATTTTCTAGGACTTTTTTTCCGCAGACTTAGATTACTGAGTTCCAATTTCCCAAGACTTAGGACTTTTTTTCTAGGTTTTTCTTTTCCTCGGATTTATTTTCTTCAGGACTTTTTTTCCTGAAATCTTATTTCCCGAGACTTTATTGGCAGCCCCCATACTATTTTAGGAAAAAAAGTCCCAGGAATCCAAAACACAGGATTTTATTTCCAGTGACATTTTTTCCAAGGACTTGAGAAAATTCGGACTTTTTTCCAAAGTTTTTATTTCCAGGTTTTTTTTCCAGAAACTTTTTTTCCCGGGACTTTCTTACTCAGATTCGATAAATAACTATGACATAACTAAGTCGAATGAAGAAATCACTTTAAAATTTCTGAAAAATAAAAAAATCCCTGAAACGAAGTGAACAGAAAGAACTCAAATCAACAAAAGTAAAATAAATTATTATTGCTGAATGCAAAAGATTAAGCGGGCCTAACATCCAAGATAAACAATTTTGAGAATATAGAATGGTATGGTATAAGGGCAAAATGTTTATACGATTTCATAAATCTTAAACTTTTAAGATAATACAACTAATGGAATTGAGTCTTTGCAGCCAACTCTGATTTTATAAACCCTATATCTCCTTGGAATCCAATGTATATTAGACCCAGATAGGATTGAACTATGAACTATGATTTCTGTTGGATCAAATATTCTTTTGAAATATCAAAGGTTTAAATCATCAGGTTGGAATGAAGATATAGGGATTGATTCGAACATTTTAGCTTTGGGTAAAGACTTAATTCCTTTAGTTTTTTAGAAACATATCGAGGAAATTTTGAATTAGATCTTCCCCCCCCCCCACCTTTAGATACATACAGGGTGTCCCACGAAACATGACATTGGATAAATAGTTTTTTTAGTTAAACAAATCTTTTGCTTAATTATATTTTACTTTGAAATCAATTTTAATATAACATGACTCCATTATAATATTTTTATTGATCAAACAACTGAACGAATAATGGAAAAAGACATTCTAAACTATTCATCAACTGTCATGTTTCGTGGGACACCCTGTACTCAAACTACTGATTCTTCTCTCGTGTTCTTGTATTGAAGATATCTAGCTATCTATCTATCTATCTATCTATCTAGGCCGAATGTAAACAATTCCTTCTGTTTGTTTACATTGTTTCAGCTGGGCCGGAGGGGCTTGAGGGAGTAAACTGATAGGTTTGTGTTGCACCATTTAATTGTTTAGTGTTTACTAGATAAGAGGGGGGGGGGGGGGGTTAAAAAGGAAGGTGAATGTGATGCATCATTTTAAAGAACATTTTAGAATCTAACAATATGACTTTAATTGTGCCTGTAACCCCTTGGAATATTATCTATATAACTTGATCGGTTTACTTTAGAGATTTTAGAAAAAGTAATGTCTGCAAATGCAACCAGTGATACTACTCACTTAAAGGGAGTGACCGGCAATGTATTGTAGTTGAACTGAGAATGTAGTATTGTGGATACATTTTTTAGGATTCATTTGAGAGTTGAGACATATAAAACGTTTTAATGATGTATAATAGTTTGAGCGCAAAGTCGACGTTTAAAATCATCCATTGGGTGGTTACATTTTGAGAATCAATTTTTAAAAAAAATTATTAAATAACGACGACAAAAAATTTAAAAAACATTCTACAGTAAACTAACTAGATGTTTAGGTACATATTTATCAATTGAAATTTTATCAATAAATAAATGATAGAATCAATTATTTCTTTTTTTTTTGATAAATTGAATTTCTTATTCTTTATGAATTAGTTAGCAAATTTCTTCAAATTCTTAAAATGTCGTCTTTTCAATAACAATTCCAGAAAATCTACAGAAAATTTTTGTGAAAAATGAGAAATTACAGAAACCAATACATTAATAAGATTACTTATTTTCGATGATAATAATTTTTTTATTTTCTCAACATTTCTAACTAATTAGTTTAATGTAAACCTTTTACTACATTTTTCGTCGTCGTTATTTAAACATTTTTTTAGATCGATTCTCATAACGTAACCCCCCAAATGGATGATTTTGAACGCCAACTTCGTGCTCAAACCCAGTAATTATACATCATTAAAACGTTTTATATGTCTCAAATTAATCCTAAAAAATGTCTCCATAATACTAAATTCTTAATTCAACTACCATATATTGCCGGTCACTCCCTTTAAGGAGTCTTTAGACGTAAAGTGACTCTCAAGAGATTCTCCAGTTGTATTGTGGCATGTGCGATTTACAACTGTACCCTTAAAACCTGTCTGATCAGGAATACATGAGATATCAATCATCTTTGAAAGGTAATTATTTCTGATCTTAGTTTCTCTGCAATAGTGACTTGAGGATTTCTGCTCTAAAAACAATTTAGGAAATATTACTAATTAAACAGTTTAGGAGATATTACAAATTTAACAGTTTAGGAGATATTAGAAATTAAACAGTTTTTAAGCTTTCTGGGTTAAGGTCACTTTAAATTACAACAACGTTCAGTCCCTAAATGCAAAACATGACTAGTTTGTGTGTAGGTCGTGTGTTTGTGATTGTAATTTAAATGTGTGTTTATTTAAGAGAACAGTGTTATTCACCGACAGAGAGAAGTCTTTATTTATCATAGATAGATAGATATACAGATAGATTGATTGATAGTTAGGTACGTAGATAGGTAGATAGGTAGGTAGGTAGGTAGGTAGGTGGGTTGGTAGGTAGGTAGGTAGGTAGGTAGGTAGGTAGGTAGGTAGGTTCTTGCATACTAACTTCTAACTTCTTAAGAACTTATTTATTTCACATGACATAGTTTTGTAAATTAATGACATGCTAAAAAAGTTATAATCCTGAAAATGTGGGTTTTAATTTCTAAAGATAAATTGGTTGCTTGAATTAAAACATCTTTAGCTTCATTTTTATTTAAAATATTCAACAATTTTACGTCATACATGGTGTCTCAATAAACGTGGGAATCAAATGAAGACTTCTATATCGTCTTTTTTCTATGCGAGATTATTTCGTAAACATGATTTTGTAGTATCACAGTTAAAATCTTTAACAACATAAAACTACCAGTCTTGGGATTTACAAAATATGGTCTAACAATATTTTACCTTCAAAATTGACGGATATATTGGGAATTTGTCCAAATTCCAGTTTATTAAAAGTCAACAAAACTGTTTAAAGGTTTAATATCTCTGTCATTTTCAAAATTACAAAGAAAGGTCGACCACATTTTGGAAAGCTTATAAGACTTAAATATTTTATTGATGTCATTTATCAATTATCGGAAATCAAAGACGATATTGATGTCGTCTCTCAATTTCCATGTTTATTGGGACACCCTGTACTATACTACGCACCCTGTTTTGATGTTTGTAGGTTAGAGTTATTATTCATATTTCCCGATGTAATTATCTGTATAATTAACTAGCCTTCCTCTGGTTTGATCTACACATCACATGACACATTTGCTTGAAAAGCAGATTCTTTTCTAAATAGCTAGGCTTATACCGAGTCTTGGAATTCCGATCTATTTTATTAAATGAAAAATTTCATTTAGTATTCCCGAAATTTTAAGCAATAACACACTATTGTTCCGTTTCGATTAATGAGGGGGGGGGGGGATTTGGCCTAACCCTAGTCTAGTTATTTGGGCGGAAAGGTCGTCTCACTGTCTAAACACACATTCATAATCATATAAGTACGTCGAGGGGGAAATATATTTGTATAAATATTACAAGGCTTATTTCACTTATCAGACCACATGATTGAATTCAAGCGATGTAGAAAACTAATAATTCTACAAATTTAAAAGTAATATTGAAAAAATAAAAGAAGGGTTAACTTGTTACAAGAAAAATGAGCTTCAAACTTGCTCCAAACCCGAGATCAGTGACACATAAAAGAGATTTCACCGTAAAGTGCTCTCACTCAGTTTTGATGAATAGTCAAACAAATTTCTTCCAAGAAACAGTTTAGGAGATATTACAAATTAAACAATTTAGGAAATATTACAAATTAAACAGTTTAGGAGATATTACAAATTTGACTACAGACGACTAAAGATGACTAAAGATTACTAGAGATGACTACAGACGACTAAAGATGACTACAGATGACTACAGACGACTAAAGATGACTACATTAAACTAAACGCTCCTTCAAGTATTCAGGGGGGGGCGGTGTCTATGCACTTATGGTGATATCTGTAAAGCATAAACTGTGGAGCAGAGGTAGATAACGTTGAAGCAGCCTTAAGAGTATTAAGGCTGTTCAAACGCAAATAGTTTACCAGAGTTGCGTTAAAACGAAATTGGAGGTGTCCCCTGCACAAAGTACATTTGATGTGCTTCCTGTTCTGTATATGAACTATTTTAAAAACATAACTTGAGTCATTGTAAGATTCAAGTTTTATGGGTTTCACTAGAAATATTTCTTATAATTTTTTAAGTTTATTTTAATCTTTTTGAGGTAATATAAATGACGAATAACAAGATATAAGAACTTGAAAAAGGAGGAAATAAGCTTACTCTGCAATTCTGTAGAATCGACTGTAAACTGTATATATATATATATATGACAGAAGGCGAAAATATGGATAGAGAGACACAATATGGATAGAAATACACAAATATGGATAGATAGTCAAAAAATGAATAGACAGTCATAAATAAGGATAGATAGACGAAAATATGGATAAATAGACAAAAATATGAAAAGAAAGACATACATATGAATAGATAGATAT